TCAAATCCAGTTAACAAACTTTTGCTTTGAAGGGCCACATAGTAAATATTTTAAGTTTTGCAGGCAATATGATTTTTATCACAACTATCAAATTCAACCTTTGTATTGGGAAAGCAGTCATAGACTGCTGCTATGGAAAGAACATGACTGTGTTCCAATAAAACTTTATTTTCAAAACAGGGGCAAACCAGATTTGGCCCATGGCATATTATGTTGCTGATCCCTGATAGAAGGATCAAAACTTATTTTCAGGATTGTTCTAAGTCACAGGTGTAATATTTACAAAAAAACTTTGACACAGAATAAACCCTTAGTAACAGCAACATAGTTATTTGGGAATAATACTGTCTAGAGTAGTTGAATGTTAATAGGAATTATAATTTTAGATTAAAAAAAAAAACTTATTCTGGCATCTCAGATGGTAAAGAATTTGCCTGCAATATGGGAGACCTGGGTTTGATCCTTGTGTTGGGAAGATCTCCTGGATAAGGGAATGGCTACCCACTCCAGTATTCTTGCCTGGAGAATCTCATGGACAGAGGAACCTGGCGGGCTATAGTCCATGGGGTGGCAAAGAGTCAGACACGACTGAGCGACTAACACTTTCACTTTCAGGCTCTCATGATTTTAGATATCTGGATAAGCCAGTTGCAAGAATTTGTGTTTTACTAGAAGGGTTATGAGTTACATGAGTGCTGGGGTGGTAGAAAATACTATGGTATGAGATCTAGCTGTGAAACAAAAAAGAGCCTGAATGCTTGGTCAAACAGTTCCGTTCAGTTCAGTCACTTAGCTGTGTCCGACTCTTTGCGACCCCATGAATCGCAGCACGCCAGGCCTCCCTGTATATCACCAGCTCCCGGAGTTTACTCAAACTCGTGCCCATCGAGTCGGTGATGCCATCCAGCCATCTTATCCTCTGTCGTCCCCTTCTCATCCTGCCCCCAATCCCTCCCAGCATCAGGGTCTTTTCCAATGAGTCAACTCTTCGCATGAAGTGGCCAAAGTACTGGAGTTTCAGCTTCAGCATCAATCCTTCCAATGAACACCCAGGACTGATCTCCTTCAGGATGGACTGGTTGGATCTCCTTGCAGTCCAAGGGACTCTCAAGAGTCTTCTCCAACACCACAGTTCAAAATCATCCATTTTTCAGTGCTCAGCTTCCTTCACAGTCCAACTCTCACAACCATACATGACCACTGGAAAAACCATAGCCTTGACCAGACAGACCTTTGTTGGCAGTCTCTGCTTTTTAATATGCTATCTAGGTTGGTCATAACTTTCTTTCCAAGGAGTAAGCGTCTTTTAATTTCATGGCTGCAGTCACCACTTGCAGTGATTTTGGAACGCCCAAAATAAAGTCTGACACTGTTTCCACTGTCTCCCCATCTATTTCCCATGAAGTGATGGGACCAGATGCCATGATCTTAGTTTTCTGACTATCGAGCTTTAAGCCAACTTTTTCACTCTCCTCTTTCACTTTCATCAAGAGGCTTTTTAGTTCCTCTTCACTCTCTGCCATAAGGGTGGTATCATTTGCATATCTGAGGTTATTGATATTTCTCCTGGCAATCTTGATTCCAGCTTGTGCTTCTTCCAGCCCAGCGTCTCTCATGATGGACTCTGCATAGAAGTTAAATAAGCAGGGTGACAATATACAGCCTTGACGTCCTCCTTTTCCTATTTGGAACCAGTCTATTGCTCCATGTCCAGTTCTAACTGTTGCTTCTTGACCTGCATACAGGTTTCTGAAGAGGCAAGTCAGGTGGTCTGGTATTCCCATCTCTTTCAGAATTTTCCACAGTTTATTGTGATCCACACAGTCGAAGGCTTTGTCGTAGTCAATAAAGCAAAAATAGATGTTTTTCTGGAACTCTCTTGCTTTTTTGATGATCCAGCGGATATTGGCAATTTGGTCCCTATGGTTCCTCTGGTTCCTCTGCCTTTTCTAAAACCAGCTTGAACATCTGGAAGTTCACGGTTCACATATTGCTGAAACCTGGCTTGGAGAATTTTGAGCATTAATTTACTAGTGTGTGAGATGAGTGCAATTGTGCAGTAGTTTGAGCACTCTTTGGGATTGCCTTTCTTAGGGATTGGAATGAAAACTGACCTTTTCCAGTCCTGTGGCCACTGCTGAGTTTTCCAAATTTTCTGGCATATTGAATGCAGCACTTTCACAGCATCATCTTTCAGGATTTGAAATAGCTCAACTGGAATCCCATCACATCCACTAGCTTCTAAGGCCCACTTGACTTCACATTCCAGGATGTCTGGCTCTAGGTGAGTGATCACACCATTGTGATTATCTGGGTCGTGAAGATCTTTTTTGTACAGTTCTTCTGTGTATTCTTGCCACCACTTCTTAATACCTTCTGCTTCTGTTAGGTCCATACCACTTCTGTCCTTTATCAAACCCATCTTTGCATGAAATGGTATCTCTTGCTACCTTGATATCTCTAATTTCCTTGAAGAGATATCTAGTCTTTCCCATTCTGTTGTTTTCCTCTATTTCTTTGCATTGATCGCTGAGGAATGCTTTCTTATCTCTCCTGGCTATTCTTTGGAACTCTGCATTCAAATGAGAATATCTTTCCTTTTCTCCTTTGCTTTTCACTTCTCTTCTTTTCACAGCTATTTGTAAGGCCTCTTCATACAACCATTTTGCCATTTTGCATTTCTTTTCCATGGGGATGGTCTTGATCCCCATCTCCTGTACAATGTCACAAACCTCCATCCATAGTTCATCAGGCTCTCTGTCTATCAGATCTAGTCCCTTAAATCTATTTGCACAGGCCCAATTAGGCACAGTGCCTGGGACCCACATTAGTTTTCATTTTGATTTTTTTTAAGTCTGAAGAAAAACAATATTGCAATAATAATGACTATGTAGTAATAAATCTAACAGCTGTCACATTTATTTTTATACCAACACAGCACAAAATATACATTTTAATATTTTATGAAAGAATGACAAACTCGGAAGGAAAAATAACTTTGGGTTTTTACTTTTACAGAGAACATCTTTAAAGAGAATACTTCGGTTCTGGTTTTAGTTTTTCCATTATTTCTGAACCTTGAATAACTTCTACTACTGAATTTTCTCATTTGTAAAATATGCTGTGTAAGGTCTTAACCCTGTGAGTACTGAGGTAATGTCTGCCTCTTACCATGTATTTCAGTAAGTCACTCAACCTCATTGTAGCTGTGATTCCTGATCTGTAAAATGAGACTGGGGCGGGGGGGAATTCTTCCTCTAAGCATTGGTTTGGGGTATATGAGATCAGAGTAGGGGCTTTCAAACAGCTAGTCCCTATCTAAGTTTCCTCACTGCTACATCCAGAGGCCAACCTTCAGATCTTAATAGGTAGAAGGTGACTTATTCCTCATACTTGTTCACTAGAAATACTCAGTTGACCACTTCTGGAAGCTTTTTCAGCAGCCATTCTTAACTATTGTTCACCTGGAGACACAAAATCAGTGGTGGTTGTTTGCAAGTCATGCGTTTTGAGGTGAATTAATATTGCAATGTCCCTGGTGGCTCAGATGGTAAAGCGTCTGTCTACAATGTGGGAGACCCAGGTTCTATCCCTGGGTGGGGAAGATCTCCTGGAGAAGGAAATGGCAACCCACTCCAGTATTCTTGCCTGGAAAATCCCATGGATGGAGGAGGCCTGATAGGCTACAGTCCATGGGATTGCAAAGAGTCGGACATGACTGAGCGACTTCACTTAAACTTACTTAATATTGCAATGAAACAAAAATTGGGGAAACAGTGGGCATTAAAACCCTACTACAATTCACAATAGTTCAGAGTAAGCATCACAAGTTAGCCTGGGCATATTCCAGAGCTCCCAGTCACTCATTTTTTTCTTTTTCACTCAAGAAAGGATATTGGAACTCAAGTGAATGAGAACCTCATTTGGAAATGATCTTGAATTCCCTCCATTCTATTATAAAATAGGAAAGTATTCCATTGTGTATATAGACCACAACTTCTCGATCCATTCATCTGTCTATGGACATCTAGGTTGCTTCCGTGTTCTAGCTATTGCAAATAGTGCTTCAATGAACAATAGGATACATGTGTCTCTTTCAATTTTGGTTTCCTCAAGGTCAAGGAGTGGGATTGCTGGATCATACCATATTCCGGTATGGAGATAGAATCTCCATATCCTCTTCCATAGTGGCTGTATCAGTTTATGTTCCCAACAGTGCAGGAGCATTCCCTTTTCTCCACACCTTCTCCAGCATTTATTGTTTGTAGGCTTCTTGGTGATGGCCATTCTGACTGGTGTGAAGTGATATTACCATATGTAAAATAGATAGCCAACGGGAATTTGCTGCATGGCTCAGGAAACTCAAACAGGGGCTTTGTATCAATCTAGAGGGGAGGGATGGGGAGGGAAATGAGACTATGGCTGATTCATGTTGAGGTTTGACAGAAAACAGCAAAATTCTGTAAAGCATTTATCCTTCAGTAAAAAATAAATTAATTTAAAAAACATAGAAAAATAAATCATCCTCAAACTTCTATGTTACCATTGTCTTTAAGAACTTATAGCTTTCTTCTTAATGCTCTGGCTTGTGCCTGAGAACCTCTGCCCCAGGTCACATAGACTGCTACCTTCTTCATCTACATCAAAATCGGCTCTCCCATTCACAGCCTGGAAGTCCTAAGTGGAGCTTGAACAGTAACCTCCCTACTGTCCCTCTACGGAAACTTTTCAAGGCTGGAGTTGAAGGTGCTCAAGGTGTACCTCAGAGCTTGGTCTTTTCAACCAGAGGTCTCTGGAAATGGGGTGGGTTTACCTGCCAACACTCCTTTCAGGCAGAGAATTCTGACCTCAATGTCTTTGTGTGAGGAGGTCCCAAAGGGTTTCCTGGGACTGGTTAGGTTAGGCTGAAAGGGTTTCTTGGAACCTTTCCGAGACCCAAAGGGAGTGAGTAGTTGGTGGCAAGGGCAGGGACTCAGGTTTATGGTTCTCTGTTTCTGCAGGGCCAGCAGCCTCTGGAATCCCAAAGAAGCTGGTTGGTGCCATTGATGGGTCTGTGATTTTCCCTCTGAATCTCTCAGTAAATCTAGTTGACAGCATTATCTGGGTCTTCAATTCAACCACTCTCATCACCATACAGCCAAAAACGGGAGACAAAAAAGCCCTCATCATAGTGACCCAAAAGCGTAACAAGGAAAGAGTGAATTTCCCACATGAAGGCTATTCCCTGAAGCTCAGCAGACTGAAGAAGAATGACTCAGGTATCTACCGTGTGGAGATACACAGCTCAACGCTCCAGGATCCCCTCACCCAGGAGTATGAGCTGCGTGTCTATGGTGAGCAGAATCAGGTCCTAAGGTGGATGACTGCCTTCATAAAGTGGTGAACTCCCTGATATTGAAGCTGTTCAGACAAAGGCTGGATGTCTATTCGGTTGTCTATTTCTCTTACAGAGTACCTGTCAAAGCCCAAAGTCATCATAGGTCTGCAGGACAATAAGAATGGCACCTGTGTAACCAATCTCACATGTTCCATGGAACATGGAGAAGAGGATGTAACTTACAGCTGGAAGTCTCAGGACCAGGCAACCAATGAATCCCACAGTGGCTCCATCCTCCCCATATCCTGGAGGTGGGAGAAAAGTGACATGACCTTCATCTGCATGGCCAGTAACCCCATCAGCAGCAACTCCTCCAACCCTGTCTTTGCCCAGAATCTCTGTGAAGGTGACTGTCTCTCCTCTTTCTCCAGGAGCCCCTGTTCTTAAGATCTATATCTTTTTCTCCTGGTTCCCATGCAAATAAATCTTTTGTGAAAACTAGAAGCCCTGGGGAAATCATGAGATATGGGAGGAAGGTTGCAATTGCTCCAAAAATCGGGCCATTTTCCCTAGCTGACTCTTCTCCCTGCTCTGTGCCTCCACCCATTCTTTATAAAGGTGCTGCTGGTGGCCTGGCTCTCTACGTGATCCTCTATGTCCTGTTGTTGTTCATCCTGCTCTGTTCCCTTGCACTGGTGTTAATTATTTTGATCATACGAAGAACAAGAAAAAAAGGTAGAGTATGTACTGTTTACCTCAATTTTGCATCTTCTCCCTCATTCATTCAACAAGCATATGTTGAACTGTGTGCCAAGGTTTGTGCCTGGCACTAAGGATGCAGAAATGAAGAAGCCACAGTCTGTCCTAAAGGACAGCACCATCGATTGGCACTCCTTAGTTCTGGAGTGGAGAGAACACTTTAATTTCTATCCAAAGGCCAAGGTCGTCTCTGTTCCTTCTCCAGTGCCTGCCTTCTCCTTCCCCCCAGAGGGACTTACTAGTGTAGCCCTCCTGCTGACACAGGCCCCAGACAGCTGAGTCTGCTCCCCTGACTGGGAGGCCATGAACTCCAACACTGAGGTCCATAGAGCAGCACCCTCCTGTCAGCCCATCCCTGTCAGAGCCCCCAGCCCATCCCAATTCTCTCCATTGGATCAACTCCAGAGATCTCCCTTTACTCCACACCTCAGTCTAGATACATTATTCCTGGAGAAGGCATTGTCTGTCTTTCTCCATGCCATACCCCATGTCCCTAAACCCTGCTGATTTGTCTTCTTGGGTTCCCCCTGATACCGTCCACTCAGGGTATCAGGGAGGGACCTAAGCATCAGTTAGGAATGAACTGCAGACACTGAGATCTTCTTTCCCTCCTGGAAACACTGAGGAAGCATTTCTGATCTACTCTGCTTCCTATGTAGAGTTTGGGAAGCAAAGTGATGAGGGTCACCAGTTCAACTTGGAGTTTTCCTGGGTTTAGCATTGAAAGTCTCATGTTCTGGAAAACCCTTCAGTTACAGGAAAGTCAGGATGGTTGGTCACCCTAAGTAGGTTATTCAAATGGGATGGCGGACCAATAGGGGTGGCCAGTGGAAGGAGGATCAGCTCTGATTCCCTCTCAACTTGGTTTCAGAGCTCATTGAAGAGAAGAAGGAAACAGACACTCATCAGGAAACTCTTTCCCTCCCTCCCGTTTCTGAAGAGGTGCCCGAGTATGATACAATCTCCTATTGTAATGTGAGTTTTTCCCCATTTTTTCTGGGGCCTGATTCTCCTCTCTGAGTCCCTCCTTTGTTTAGTTGAGCTTTTTCCAAGGATTTGGGCAACATGAGAAATGAGAATGTAGGACCCTTGAAACCCAAAGCACCTGTATCTCTTCCATCTTTATGGATTCTTTCCTGTGCAGGAATTGATAGCCTTTCGTTCTGACCCAGCTGGGAATGCTAACACTGTGATCCATGGAATCACTCCTTCCCTCCCTGACACAATGGCCACTCAACAGACCTGGTTCCTTTTGTATAGGACGGTGGAAGTGTCCTATGATTCTGACATGATATTTGAGTTATGGTGTCAGAAGATGGGCTTCAGAGATGCTTTTTCCTCTGAGGCAATTCAAGGAACCAGCAGGAAGGGTCTCAGATGTTCCACACCCAAGACTTCCCACGTGTAGGTCATCAAGCTTCAGTGACCACAAGGTTAATTCAAAGAAAACTCTTTGAAAAGAAAATCCCAAGATAAAGTTGAAAGAAATCCAAATAACAAGAGACAAGTTGGGGATTTCACTGGTGGTCCAGTGATTAAGACTTCACACTCCCAATGCAGAAAGCCCAGGTTCAATCCCTGGTCAGGGAGCTGGATCCCACATGCTGCAACTAAGAGAGCCTGCACTCGGCAATGAAGATCCTGTGTGCCACAACTAAGATTCAGCGGAGCCAAATTGATTAATTGCTTACAGAAAAAAGAGAGGCAGTTTTGAGACAAGAACTAGGTAGACAGCTTCAAAAGTTCCCCTGGGAGCAATAATTGTAGCCAAGGCTGTGCTTGCTCCTTTGGGGTCATAGTGCTGTTTCCACATTGGTCCACTTAATGAAAAAATTAAGGCACTTTGAAGCCCCCCAAATCTTAGTGTTACTCCAGCTATCAATGCCTCCAGATCAGGATGCATCTTCTCACACTTATCTACAACTTTTCCAAGAGGAGTCATCACGTTTCTTCTTCCAAGTTGTTGATGTCCTGAGAGCTCCTTCCTTCCTCACAGGAGAGACCTCTCTGTGCTCCATTCGGCCTGACTTTTGTCAGAATTGATCACTTTCCCAACATTCCCCTCTTCTCCTGCTCAAGACACATTCCCTGGAGACCACAGTACTGTCCTTGATGTTCAGGAACAAACTTTACTGACCCAGGATATCTTTCTCTGGCCTGGGATGAGCTGTTGTTATTGTTGTCATCACTGTTTTATCCCTTTCTGATTTGAGTTTGTTTGCAACATTAGCAGTATTATTTCAAATTATTCTTTAATCATTTGGGAGATTCATTGCTCATGGGACTTATTTATCTTACATATTTAAGTGATTTAAACAGAACACAGTTTAAAAATAATGCAATTGCTTCTTGAAAAAAGTCATTAATAATTACAATGGCAGTCACGGTCAAGAATACTTCTCACTCCCTGTTTCTGCTCCAGAACCCTCTCTTCCCTCTCACCATCTCCTCCCACCTCTGCTTTCCTTTCTCCAGATTCTGGATGTCTCTTTAGCCTTGTCTATGTGACCCAGGGTGTTCAGTTCAGTTCAGTTCAGCTGCTCAGTCGTGTCCAACTCTTTGTGACCCCATGGACTACAGCATTCCAGCCCTCCATGTCCATCACCAACTCCCGGAGTTTACTCAAACTCATGTCCATTGTGTCAGTGATGCCATCCAACCATCTCATCCTCTGTCATCCCCTTCTCCTCCCACCTTCAATTTTTCCCAGCATCAGGGTCTTTTCAGATGAGTCAGTTCTTTGCACCAGATGGCCAAAGCATTGGAGTTTCAGCTTTAGCATCAGTCCTTCCAATGAATATTCAGGACTGATTTCCTTTAGAATGGACTGGTTGGATCTCCTTGCAGTCCAAGGGACTCTCAAGAGTCTTCTCCAACATCACAGTTCAAAAGCATCAATTTTTCAGTGCTCAGCTTTCTTTACAGTCCAACTCTCACATCCATACATGACTACTAGAAAAACCATAGCTTTGACTAGACAGAACTTTGTTGGCAAAGTAATGTTTCTGCTTTTTAATATGCTGTCTAGGTTGGTCATAACTTTTCTTACAAGGGCCCAGGGTGTAAGTGATGATTTCTTTTGTTTGTTCTTTGTTTTCTAACAGAGGACTATTTCAGAGGAAAAGCTGGCAAATACCATTTATTCCACTGTGCACATATCCCCCAAGGTAAGAACCCTCAGGGCTGAGTTTCATCTTAGGTGTCCCGTCCTCTTTTCTTATTCAAGATTACCTAGAATTTCTTGGGCCCCAGGGATCTCACTTTCCCTGGTACTAAAAGGCACCCAGTATATCCCATTCCCTTTGCTTAAGTTTACACAGTATGTGGGGAAAAGGAGAGAATTGTTTTAGAAGTTGAAATGGGGATAAAGTGGAACAAATAGAGTAGCAGAGAAGTTCCAGGTAGGAGTGATAGGGAAAATCAGCAGGATCCTGACTGAGAGCATGGGAAAAGCTCCATGGGCTTAGGTTATGCCTGGGAGAAAGGGATGGCTGGGGAGACAACTCCAGCTTATTTCGAGTCACTTGTAAACTGGAGGCAGGAGAACATTCCTCTTTTTTTCCATGGTCTAGCTATGTTACATCTAGTTTGCACCTCTCCCCCCGCCACCGCCCCAGTCAAATTACTACCAACACAGTAAGTTTGTAAAGCTTATTCCTTCAGAGATCACACTTGGTGGAAGCAAGGATGCCTTCCTTACTCCCCTTCAAACCAGATCAGAAAATTGAGGCTGGGGCAAGCACTGTGCTTAGTAATAGGAAAGATTTGTTTGGATAGATTGTTAGAAGGAAAGTTCAGTCCATTAAGCATTCAAGATAAATGTGGGTTAAGCTTGAGGGATAGTTTTTCTAAGATCAAAATGATTAAACAAGTGAGCAAGCACAGTGGGGAGGTTTGAGTTGGGTACCCTTGGCAGTGAAGTGTCTGGGATAGTGGTGTCTCTTGGGGGGATCCAGGGCCCTGCTCCCTTACAGTGTTCTGCATCTTTATGTCTGCCCAACAGGTAACAAAACCCCACTCCCTGCCCATGTCGTCAGATACACCAAGGTCATCTACTTGTAAGAATGTCGTCTAAACAGACATGTGCTCCAAAGAAAATGGTCAGAAGAATTCACTGACTTGACCAGAAACATGAAGGAAGAGTGAACATCACTGACTTCCCTCCACAATAAACTATCCTTTATGCTCCTTCAGAGTTAAGAGTTCCTAATCTGGGAATTCCCATGTGGTCCAGTGGTTAGGACTCTGCTCTCACTGCTGAGGGCCCAGGTTCAATCCTTGGTTAGGGTACTAAGATTCCACAAGCCGTGAGGTGAGGCAAGAAAAATAAAAAAAAAAAGAGTCCCACATCCTATCCTGACAAATCTCCTCAAACCCCAAATCCCTCCCTGAAAATTTGAATGCGAATTTATTGGCCAACTCAAAGCAAGGGACTTAGAAGCATCTCTGTTGAAATGTTAACACAGATTCACACCTTTGAATAACAGCTTCCTTTCCAGGACTTGGAGATGAGAAATACACCAAGTGTTTGGTTGCCAAGAGGGCAAGAACTTCAGGGTGGCCAGCCGACCTTAGCAGCAGAAGACAGCAGTCAGAAGGGGATTAATTTACTGACTCATCAGTGACATGCTGAGCTCACAAATGTGCTGAGCTCACACTGATTTTGGTCAGATGTGCTCTCTGCTATCCTGAAACTGACCCTTCAGGAACTGCTTCCCTGGGCAGTGGCAGCAGGCCTGACCACAGATTTCTGAAACCCAAGGGGTCAAGTGTGGATACACAAGACTTGGGAGTCAAAGTGCACAAGGAAAGAGAAGCCAGGTGGAAGACAGTTTGGCTGACTGGAAACTCAAATGAGGAACATGCAGAGAGAGAAGTTTGCTTTTGGATGTCTTTCTGGATACACAACTTGAATGGAAATGTTGGGAACAGATCTGAGATCCCCGGTCTGGGGGTGTGAAATGTCTCCTTTATTTAAAGGAAAACAACTTCTGCATTGGGGAAGTGTAAAAATAAATGTCACTTACAAAAGAGGAAGGTCTATTCATTTTCAGAGCTTTTGCTACTTCTGTAAAAACAATCAGCACAAAATAATCCTTATGTCAAAGAGACACATTTCTGAGTGACAAATTCTGCTCCCCTTCATAGATGTGTCCTTTCTGAGACACCACACCCAATAGAGCGATATTCACATGGTAAATATTGTAAGTGATTGCATTTATTACTATAATTACCTTTTTTTCAGAGTTCTAGGACTTTTAATTTATCCCAAAATTGCTGAAGCAAAAATCATGATAAAACATCCTGCTTTCCTTTACACCCCCCAACACACACACACACACACACAAACTTTGTAAGAAAAAAATGGTTTTGTACAATGGAAGAAGCAATATAAATTTAAAACTTACAGATAAGGGTTAGGTCTATCACTCATCTCTTTAAAAAGTTTATACAAATATCCAGTCAACACCAACAGGGTTATCTCCCTTGAAATGTTGTCTATATGGATTTCCAAGTAGGCAACAGGGCTGTATACTGTCTCGGAATGTCCTCAGAATGCTCTGTCATTGATCAGGTAACAGAGTAAAAACCCCAGAGTCCTTTCTTTCAAATGGAAGAGGGAGAGACACGGATAGAAGAAACCAGTCAAACTTCGTCTTCTTTCCTTGTGGCTCGTGGTCTCCTCCTCCTCCTCTGCCTCCTCGGAAGCCTCCTCGCCCTCCAAACCCTCCCCGGCCTCTGCCACCAAATCTACCTCGGCCACCTCTGCCACCACCTCGGCCTCCAAAGCCACCTCTGCCTCCTCCTCTGCCACCAAAGCCCCCTTCACCCTTAGGTTTGGCCCAATCCAAAGCGACTTTGTTCCCATCGATTTCACCATCTTCCATGGCCTCCTTGGCAGCTTTGGCATCTTCCTCGCTATTGAAGTCTACAAAACCAAGCCCTTTGGAGGACCCAGTCTCCCGGTCAGTGACTATCCTTGATCAAATAGAGCCATCAAACGACTCCCTTAACATCTCTTCTGTTTTTATCCTCAGAGAGACCTTTGACAAACAGTTTTGGATGGCTGGTTTCTTGCATTAGGTGATCCCCTGGGTCCTTGCAACTCCAGTCTGATGACCCTGCCCTCAATTTCCCTTTTATTACATGAATTTAAAGCTTCTTTAGCATCTTCAAATGAAGCAAATTCTATAAATGCATACCCTTTAGATTTGCCATTTTGGTTCTGGGGCACCTTGATATGAGTTGCCTTCTCAAATACTTCCTGAAGAGTGTCTTCCATTGCACTATAGGAGAGGTTGCTTAAAACCAGGGTTTTTGATTCACCACTCCAAGTGCTATTCTTTCCACCTCTTTGGTCTTGACTTTGACCTTTCTCTCTGGTGTAGTACAGAGAAGTGGATCACCCATCTATCTCTGTTCCCTGCTTTTCTTCCAAGGTTTTTATGCATCAGCTTCTGTCTTAAATTCAATATAAGCAATCCCTTTACTATTTCCATCCTTGCTGACTAATCTGATCTCCACAGCATCTTCAAACACTTCTTTTAATTCATCTTGAGTAACTTTGTAAGGCAGATTTTTAGTCAAAAGTGTTCTTGCATCTCGATCTTTCTTACTGTCTTTTCCCTTTGGTTTTTCTAGTTTAATTTCATTGCCAAAGACTTTTAAACCAGTGAGTTCCAAGGCTTTTCCCAGGTCTTCGGCACATAGCCAAACTTCCTAGACACACCAATTTTGACATCAACAGCAGCAAGATCATTTTTAGCAAAAAGGTCACTGATACTCGTTTTCAATTCAGGAGCAAATTTATTGAAGCTCAGGTTTCCAACAAAGAGACTGAAAGACATAGCTGGTTCTGTGCCTTCCACTTTTTGTTTCTTGGTTTCAGGAGCTGCTTTTTGTTTGGCCATTTCCTTCTTTCCTTTACCAGGTGCTTCTTTGACAGGCTCTTCTTCCTCTTCCTCCTCCTCATCCTCCTCCTCTTCATCATCGTCATCCTCTTCCTCTTCATCATCATCATCCTCTTCATCTTCATCTTCAGCAGCACTCTTAATCTTCACAGGCACAGCTTTTACTGTAACTTTCTTTCCTTTGGCTGGTACAATCTCCATAGGTTCTTCTTCAAAGTCATATTTGTCTTCCTCATCCTCCTCCTCTGCCTCATCATCATCGTCATCTTCATCCTCGTCACCCTCATCACCTGTGGCAGGAGCAGCACCAAAAGCAGCAGCTGCCTTCCTCACTGCTGGCTCATCCTCCTCTTCATCATCGTCCTCTTCCTCTTCACTGTCATCTTCATCTTCTTCATCACTGTCTTCCTTCTTGGCATTCTTGCCATTCTTTGCTCCCTTGCCTGGGGCGGCTGCTCCCTTCTTACCAGAGGAGCTACCAATGCTTTGCCTGGGGTGGCTCCATTTTTGCCAGGTGTTACCACTGCTTCGGCAGCTGTAACTGTCTTCTCGGCTGGTGTAGCTGCTGCCTTTTTGCCAGGGGTAACAACTGCTTTCTTTGCCGGTGTGGCAACTGCAACCTTTTTTGTTGGGGAAACCATTATCTTCTTTGCTGGAGTTGTGATAGCTTTCTTGCCTTTTTTCTGAGGGATAACAACCTCTTCTCCACTGCTCTCATCGTCTTCATCTTCTGATATTTCCTCATCTTCACTATCTTCTTCTACCTCCTTTGGGGGAGGAGCCATTTTCTTGGAGTCACCTTGATTTTTACCAGCCTTTGCTTTGGACAAAAAGGTTACTCTCTTCTTGCTACGTTCTTTAAGCACACCGTTTTAAAAATTACACCTCCAGCCAAAATGGAACCTTGCTTCACCACACCGTGTCTCAATGCGGACTACAACTGGACCACTGTTAACTACCACCAATTCAATGCCCTTCACGTGAGGAAAACCACCTTGAAAAAGCCTTTGAGGTCAATGGTGGCACCAAATTCCACCACCCTCGTCTGAATTTAAATTAAGGCAGCTTAAAAACAAACAAACAAACAAACAGCTCTTAACTCATAGTCTTCTATTAAGATTTCCTTTCCCAGGTTACCAACCCCGCCCCCTTCAGCCCTGGAAAGGCCAAGTGGGATAAGTCGCAGGCCTCCGCGCAGAAAGCATGCGGCAGAGCCTCCTTCCGGAGCCCCCCTCCCGTCCGCCCACCCAGCTAGACCGCAGATTAGGGGCACTGCCGCCCTCCCCCCCGCCCCAGGGCCAGGTCCCTCCGCAGGCTGCCGGCCCACAAGGAGCAGCCCAAGTGGCGGGCCTCGCGCCGCTATATAATTACTTTTTAAAGATAAAATCAGCAAGTCTTGAGGAAGAGGTTTTTTTCTAATTCTCAGAAAGATTGAGGGTGCGGAACCTTCCTGGACAGGCCTCCTATCTTAAATTCTTTTAGGCATCTGTGTTGTTCCTGAGTCACCAAGGTTTGCAATAGAGGAAAAGTTTATTCATAAGACAGCCAAGTGAGGAGACAGGAGAACAAATCTCAAATCTACTTCCCCAAAGGTGAAGGGCTCAGGTAAGAATGCAGGTGGTCTGAGGCATGAGGAATGTGGGGAAAGGTAATTAGAAGTAAGAAAAAAAGTGAGATAATAGTCATTGTGCGCTACAACTGAGCTACAGGCTTCTTCATTGGATGCATGTTCTGAAAATGGCTGCATTAGCATGTTCCAAGGGTGGACTTTTGGACCCTCAAATGTTAAAATGTCATCAAGAGGACACTCATGCATGCCCAGTGGAGAACCAGAGATCTTAACCAGTCTTAACTGGGTCAGTCTCCAACTGAACAGCAGACTCCAAGTTCCTGAAAAACAATTAGGGCAAACATCTTATTTAGGCTGCATGATGCTTGAAGGACACCGAAGTTTTTGTAAAAACAACTAAAGCAAGTTTGATCAGAAGGCAGGTTACAGTTTAATAGACCTAAATGATGACTAACCTAGTTAACTGATGACTAATTTTCAGCTTAAAATAATCTGCTCTACACAGTTGCACATCTTGAGGTGGCTTGGTCTCAGTCCCATCACTGTGATGGACAAAATTTTTAATAAATGCATGCCTTGCCAAGGCAGATTATA